CGTGTTAAAAAAGTTAGATTGGAGGAGCGGGAAAGCTCATCGAAGTGGAAAGCTCATGGAAGTGGAAAGCTCAGGAACAAAAGGTATAGTGGGTGAAAATAAACAGGATGATGTTGTGGTAGATGAAAAAAGAGGGTCAATGATTGGTGCAGGTGACAAAAGTTGCGGGTGGGGATGTACTGGATCGCCTCGAGGCACTCAATGTTGCCTATTATAACAAGTTTGTGCTTTAGTCATGCATAATACAATGTTTTGTGGATATTTTTTGAAATTTTTCGCCGACACTGTTCCAAAAACATTTATATTGTGTGTGTAACTGAAGTCTGCACCGAAATGCTTTGTAACTAAAGTCTCGGATGAATAAGTGCCTTGATAAAAAGCTTTCTGCGGCCGCAAGCGAGTAGAACAAGATTACGCAGTTTCGGTTGGAATGATTGGTTCAAGAGTAAGTTTGCATCGATTATTCGCCGACTGGTTACTCGAAGTGCAGAAATATGGATTCTTTAGGATTGGAACACTGATTGGGTCCGGAGGCCACATTTAATGTAAACTGCAAGTGTCGAAGCGGAAGAGAAAACCTGAATTGACGTTATATTCAAAGTAGCTGATGAGTGAATACAAAATCAGCTTTATGATGGAATATAAAACAGCTCTATGAATAAAACGGTGCGGTCATCCACTGTTGCTTTCCACAATCAATGATATATGTAAAAATGAACCAATAACTTGTAAGTCAGTCAATTTTTAAGCATCGCCTGAATGATTGACAATGATTGCTATCGACGACAACAACAACAATATATGTGCCCAATTATTCTCATCCTACCCTACAGTCGATGGCTACAAATACTTTGGAGTAGCTGCAATACTAGTTGGTGACTATTGGTGATGATACTGGTGCTTCCCATCACATCTTATCTGGTAATAGCACTTTGTGTCTCGTGTGTAACATGTGTGATGGCAGTTGTACAACTGAGACGAGTAACGACGGACTCTAGGATGCAAAAGACTTTCTCTCTCTATCATCCGCTTTGCAGTAGTAGTTTGACGACATATTGCTTACTGGTGTTTAAAGATTGATCACTAGTCATGCCTTACTCGCTACTGTAAGTGAAAGGATGTAAATAAAACAACAACAGCTTATGAATAATTATCTTATGTGGTCAACGGACTTGTTCTAGCTGATTCAATACGTACCAATAGATAATTAGTAAACTACAGTCCTTTTGCCATTAGAATGATATTAATACGATAACCGTAGTACAATGCGTGACAAGTGTTTTCTGTTCCACAACTGATACTTTTGTTTGTCACTAAGTACGGCAATATCTTCTTTATACAATAACGTACTTAGTCATGTAAAAGTACCAACCTTTTGCATCGAAATCTCACGTCTATCCGTCCAAAATACTATTTTCACTCCCTGTTTGCGACCACACACTGACACACAAGTAAAGGTCGACTTGACTTGACTGACACACAAAAAGAATGAAATATCTCTTTCTACTTCATCGTCTTCCTGTATTATTATTCCACCATCCTCCTCCTTCTCTTCATTATTATTCAACATTATCCATTCCTACTCTACCTCGATCAACACGTGATCGTCACTTTCTATCTGCATTACAAGTTTTTTATCAATTAGAAGGTCATTTTAGTGTTCCATATGAATTTATCGTCCCAAATCCATCTTCTTCAACTCACGACGATAGTACGACTACTAGAACTACTACTAGGACTACATGTGTATGGCCTCAAGAGACATGGGGTATGGATTTAGGGACTCGATTACGACTCTTTACACGTGGTCGCAATGTTCCGTATAAAAGTAAAATGTTACAAAGTATTGGATTTCCATATTCCGATTGGCGAACATATGTCTGGGAAATACAAATACTACCAGCTTTACGGATATTTAAACAAGAATATGGTCATTTATTTGTACGTCAACAGTTTCAAGTTCCAGTAGGTGATTTCAAATGGCCACGTGCGACTTGGGGGATTAAATTAGGTTCTCAATGTCAATTACTACGTCGTGATGTGAATGATGGATTATCGGAAGAACGGAAGGAAGTATTGAATCAAATGGGGTTTATATGGAGTGATATTCAATGGAAATGGGAAATGCAGTTTCTAACAGCTCTGAAAACATATCGAACAATCTATGGCCATACTTGTGTTCATCATATGTTTAAAGTACCAATGAATGATACATGCTGGCCCAAAATCACGTGGGGATATCGACTTGGTCATGCGGTTGCAAAAGTACTGACAAATTTAGATGAACACATTCTTACGTCAAGTCAAGTGGAAGATTTAGAAAAATTGGATTTTTTTCAAACCACACAAGCTCTAGAGGTATGGCAACATGTTGTAATGCCATCCTTGGAACTCTATCCAATTGTTTACGGTGATACATTTATTTCAGAGGATTTTATTGTTCCTAGTGAAACACCTTGGCCAGAACGGTCGTGGGATATGAAGTTGGGATATGTTGTCAAAACAATCAACTCGAAGCTCGTTTTTCAAACTGAAATGGGAAATGACAAACAGAAACTAAAAGAGATTGGCTATGCATGGGAATCACTCTTTGGTAAATGGGCCAAGGAATTACTACCAGCTCTACGTCTTTATAAGGCCAAGTTTGACCACTGTGATGTACCATCGTGGTGGATTGTGCCCATGAATGATGAGTCTTGGCCCAAAGCACTGCGCGGCTATCATCTTGGCAAACAAGTGGTTCGAGTTCGGCGCAATGGACGTTTAAATGCCGACGTGGCTGATGTACTGACAGAGTTGAATGCAATTGGATTCAAGTTTAATGCCTTTGAAAGTAACTTTGTTGATCGGGTCTTACCGGCGTTAGAAGTTTATGCAAAAATCTACGGCGATACGCATGTGTCTCAAGGCTTTATCGTGCCATCCGAGAGCACGTGGCCATCTCCGTCATGGGGAACAAAGCTTGGGCACACCGTACGCAACATACGCAATCGCCATCAACATGCACAACAGGTAGAGATATACCGCGAGCGTCTTGAAAACATTGGTTTCGTATGGAGCATCTACAAGTCCACGGCAGCTACTAAGCGCGACATTGTGGATCCAAGTCTTGAGGTCTACAAGGCGATTAACGGTGAAGACGCTGAGATACCGCGTCATTTCGTAATTCCTGCCGATGATTCGCGTTATCTGGATATCGCTAAAGGCTTTGAGCTAGGCGCATGGCTTGTCCAGTACAACAAGCGCACCATCGGTCTGCTTCCGTTTCAGACACACGATGGCAGAAAAAGAACGGCATCGACGAGCGATGAGCCCCGTCATCCTCGCGCCCAGAGAAACCTTACACCTCACGCTGAACAGTACTGGAAGGATGTTTTATTGTGCTCATTTCAAACTTATGCAAATTTGTATGGTAGTTGTAAAGGCATGGTCGGTAGTTTTGTTGTACCACATGTAGAACCGTACCCGCAGTCTGCTTGGGGGCTTAATCTTGGCCTTCGTTTGCGTCACCTTCGTCACGGCATTCGTTATGCCAATGAAATTGCCAAGTATAAAGATGAGCTTCAAGAGCTAGGCGTGCTGCTTAATGAGATGCAGTCAGGTTAGAGTCAAACAAGAGAAAGTACGCTAACCAAGAGGGTGGCTTTGATGATGATGAAGTTTTCGACGAAGATTACAGCGATGATGAAGACTTTGGTGGTGGTGATGATGAAGGCGAAGAAGACGATGATTACGTCAACAGAGCCGATAAGGCACACATCAATTAGTGTTCGATATGAAGCGCGACGTAGATGAAAAGAGGGCGACGTAGATGAAAAGAGGGCGACGTAAATGAGAGGAGCGCGAACGTTGGACGCCATTGCGTCAATATAGAGTCCGTCATCGGGTGGTTGGCGATGTGGCGCATCTCGATCCGGTATGATTTACAGCGATAAGCACTGATCGTTTATTTATGTCGCAACGTACTGACAACATTTCAATGCTCTAGGAGCGCTAAAGCTGCATTAGGATTTGAGAAAAGCAAATACACTTTGTCAAGCGCTACAAGACACTGGCGTATGCCTTACTGTCCTTCCAATTGGGATCAAGTGGAATCATGTCTCCAAGGAGGGCACATGACATCGACAAATTTTCATACCTCTATATTCGGACAAGTTATCTACATATCTACTGGCTGCCGCCCCGCTGAGTCGGCAAAGTGTGGCATGTTGTATGTTTGCTGCATATGCAAGATGCCTTCAATCCGATCTACGGTCTTTTCGATAGATCTGATGCGCGAGGAGTGCTGCGTTAGCGTCGCCAATACAGTGTCATGTTGCTGCGCTAGAAGCTCTTGGGTGGAAGTGATGCGTTGAAAGAGCTCGATGCATGACGAGTCGAGTTTTTTTAACTGAGCTGGAGCTGCCTCTTGCGCTGATGTGATATTCATTGGCTTCAAAGAGACCAGGTCATCGATACTGAGCTTTGAACTGGATGTGTTAGAAGACTTGCCCGATACCGAAGATGTCGATCCCGCCTGCGAGTCCAGTGACTGGTATCGCGATTGGAAATTTCGAGCTGATAGCTGTGTCTTTGACCCCGAGCGGTGCAACCTGCTACATTGGCTGCTCCGCGCGCTACTGTTTGATGACAAACTGGATGCATTTGAGCAAAAGTCACCGTCTTCAATCTCTTCAGGTACGCTCTGAAGAGAAGCAGACCGACTATCTGGGAAAAGTGGTAGCGGTTCTCGGCGGATGGGATGGCCGGCTGATTTGCGACGCTTCGGCTTCATGGTAGGTGTGGTGGGTATAGATACTTCGCCTTGGAGAAGCTTTTCGACGGCTGAAGATACATATGACAACACCTCCATCGCACGTGCTGGCAGTTTCTGCTTTGGTGTCGGGTCCATCACGAGCACCGAACCAATAACAATACCACTGTGGGGGTCGCAAATAGGTGCTGAGGCGTAGAAACGAATGTTAGCTGAGCCCGTGACAAGCGGATTTTGGTTGAAACGAGAGTCTTTGGTTACGTCCATGACTATTGTCGGCAGTGGCGTCTGCAACAGTTGCGAGCAAAAGGCAATGTCGCGTGGTAGCTCAGCTTGAGCAATTCCGTATCGTGCCTTGTACCACTGCCTAGTCTGGTCCATAAACGCTACGGCAGCCACACTGCACTCGAGGACGTGACGAACCAGCTCACACACGGCGTCGTATTCCTTTTCAGGCTCAGTGTCCAGCACTCTGTACTGTGTAAGGATTTCATGCCTGCGAGCATCGTAGATCTTGAACTGTTCCTCCTGTGGAAGAAATTCAATCAGGTCAGTTGCTGGGATCCCCGACTGTCCTCGACGACTACCACGCCGAGAACCTGGAAATTTTGCCCCACTACTTCCGCCAAGGCTGCTGCTGTCGCTTGCGTCACTGCCTGCATCGCTCGAGTTATCGCAGCCTGAGAATTCTGAGAAGCGGCTGCATGTTGACGCGCTTGTGCTGGTGGTCTGCGCACTGTCTCGGAAAGTCTTTTTCCTTTCGGGCTTACACGTCTCAGTGACAATTTCTTCGTGGCTATCCTCAATACTGCCCGATTGTTTCATGATAACAATACTCTTTCTAAGGCTCTCAGTTTCAGCACGAAGCATGGCTTTGTCGATGCAGTCAAAGCAGAGACGAACCGTGACTTCTAGCGTTGGGGTGACACCCACTCTTCGTCGCCGGTAACAGTTGGAGCACACGATTTCCCCACAGGAGCGGCAGTGGCGTTTGATTGAGAAGGGTCGGAACTTGCGAGCGCAGTAAAAGCAGTTGGAACGCTCATCGATCTTAACCCAGTTCTCCTTCCCAAGTAGATAGACGGAAGACAGGGTGGACTTGTCGTTTATAATGGTGTGCAATCGCTCCTCTTCGTTAACATGATTTGCTGATAGGCCCCTTGGACGACGACTTTGGGCTGCCATTGGCTTGTTTCGGTCTGTGCAAGTCTGGAAGTCAAAACCCACCATATACGCAGCGCTAAAAATACTTGACGAAGTCAAGAGTAAAGTGGAATGTGTGCTCAATCTTGCCATGTCGACGACCAACCAAGTTCCTGTACAGACAGTCTGTCGTGAGAGAGAGCATTTTAGCAACTGGTGTAGTTACCGATGACCAGCCTTTTGGAATATCCGGAGCAAACCCAACTACTTTCAGTTGAACTTTTCTTTTATCCACATGGTTGAGTGTACACATTGGAAGTGGATAGAATAGCTGTTTCTTTGTGCATGTACCGTCCGGAATTGATACCTATGCCGCTTCTGACTTGATATTCAGTCAATCGTATTGACATGGCTACAGATAGTCAGAATTTAGTACTGAGCTATGTATTGAAAACTAGTCAGTATCTATAGCATGTGCAATGCCATATGGGACGATAGGTAACAAACAGTTGAGGGAACAAGTAGGAACCGCTAAAGTCTCTGCTATTGTGCTTCCAGACAACATCAAAATGACTTGACTTACTAAAATTAGACATTGGTCTGGTGATCAATAATCATCTGGAGAGTCATGCCATTAGTAGATCGTAAAGACGTCACGACTACGATAGATGAGGGAAAAGCCAGACATCAAGCGAGTTGGCGTAAAAATGACATGAGCTTGAGATAGCTCTGGAGCAAAACCATCTTAAATGACGTGTTGCTCGCGAAGCTTTCGTGCATGTAAGTTGCCACAGACGTTTCGTTTGTATACATACCACTGCATTCTGCTGTGTCCATCTCAATAAAATATGCTTGAAGTAGTTGGCGACGCTATTGTTGTCCTTGATGCCCTTGCTAACGCAAGCTTACGTTGCACTAGAGATTGTCTACAAATGGAGCCTTTTGAAACGCACTTGTTGCATGATCGTGACAAGATAATGGTATGAAGATAGATCAAATGTTTCAGTGATGCTACAAAATTCAGAATTGTTCATCGCTACAGACAATGGCTATGTCTATATTGTGCCACAGCAGCCCTTCTTGATACATGGGGATGTTTTGTAAGCAAAGCCAAACAATCCTCATCTCCAGCTGAGCTTAACAACGTTTATCGTGCTCGCAAAACCATCTGTGCAGCCAAAGTCTTCGATATGCCATGATATACAAAACCTGGTCACAACTTTTTCAAACTTGCACGAGGTGATCAATCTTCGTTGATGAGGGCTCCATCTTCACTCAAACTCCGTTCCAATAACGCCGATATATCATGCGGGTGGCCGCTTTAGTTCTTTGTCACCACACCTGAGAGCCTGTATCGGGCCTAAATTTGTGCCGGTCGTGAGCTTCAGCAGACATTTGCACCCTAAGCTTTCATGGCATACATGTTAACACTTCTCAAACGCTGACGCGTTTGCTCTTGAATTTTCGGACGACACAGGTCTTGTCTCGGTGTTGATGATCGATATATTGTTAGACTAGAGCTGCAATCATTGGACTTAATGGTGACACAGGTTCCAAAAAAGTCCAAGCGCACACAAGCTCTGCATTACTGCTGTGCAGGGCTTCTTCATGTCTAGAGGTACTGCAGTTATTATACTTGTCCATTGTCCTTCTCCAAGTCGAAGACCAGCGATCTTTGACAAAGAGAAGAAGAAGCCATAGTCTGCTGCATCTGGTGTAAAACCCATTCATTATCGGTGTACTACCTACAGACACAAATATTATTAATAAGTGACGCAAACAACATGGAGAAGCAACGCTCAATTTAGCCTATCAAAGCATTTTCATCGCCCTGGACACCATAATATCACGCGGCAGCACTCGAAGCATTGTTGCCTGCTTTACATAACAGTTTCCGAGCAGGTTCGCACTAATAAACTACACATTGGATGTGCTGATGTTCGATGAATACCAAAACATGAGAAACACTTCATGATATGACGCGTACCGCCAACCTACTACGATCGCAAAGCGCAGACATCCATTACGTTGTAAAATATTGACCTAAGCTTCAGTCGTCAATACTTCGTTGACTCCTTCAACTCAGAATCAATTGGAGCTCAGCAAGGCATTCCTTTACCACTAATGATGTTACTTGAGTAACTTTTGATGCAGTGAAGATGGAGATGTGGATATTAGCCACTTCTTTAGCTTTGAAGTCACCAGTTAGCGCCTACAACAAAGGAAAACCGTATTTTTTGTTAGAATAAACGAGGATGGAACATGCACTAGATCTATGCAACGTACAAGTGTGCCAATGGCTACGAGCGATCGCAGCATTGTGTCGTCACCGAGCTCTTGGACAGTGTACGATCCATTAAGCAGGTCTGCGGCTACTGAGATCACTACGATCTGGTCATCACGTGACAGCGTCCCAGGCATTGCTACTTGTGCTCGTGCAAAGCTATACAAGTCATCATTCAACGCCAATACATGGTTAGATTACAAAGTAATTAACCTCATCATATAAATGGTAAAAAAACAGCTACACCCACTTGAGCAGAACGGTCGAGAGGCTAAGCGCCACAAGCTTGTGGTGGAAAGCCTCAAATGACGGCAACTTTTTCAACACCTCGGTCTTATGCTTCAGGACGGCTTTACGCGATGCATCATGTAGGAACATGTTTGCAAGAACGCGCAGCGATAGCATCCGAGTTGCGACAGGAATTGCGTCATCACCGTCATTGGGGCTTTCCTCTAATCCCAAACTGAGGACTCTCGTGACCAGCGTATCCAGCCCCGATTCGCCGACCGCAATTGGGCCTTGTGGGTGTACTAGCACGATTCTGAGCAGGTCCAGGATCGGAAAAGCTAGTTTTGCCGGCCATTTGTCTAAAGCAATTCTCAATGCAGCGATCTCGGGAGGGGTAATCGTGCTAGAGTGATAGAACGCAGTGTCCTGTACGGTGTATACGATCTGGTCCAGAGCAATTAGTTGAGAATCGACAAGAGCATCTGCGTCCTACAATACCAAAATACATGATCACACTTTTAGATTCTATCAACAAAAGCACATCAAACGCAGCGTACGTGAGTATCCTTCATTTTTTCGTTGAATTGACGCAGCATGCTCATGAGCTTCGAGATCCTGGTCGTTTCAAAAGTATTATACCCGGACTTCAGTTCATCAAGCATATGCACATGCATTTCAGCAATTAGACACAATGTTTGCCACGCTGCTCAGAACATGGAACACACGTACCACAGGGAAGTACTTGTATCGAGGAACAGCTACAGTAGGTTCATGTGACTCAGCGCCACCAGGGACAGAGTTCACACTATCACTATTTCCAAGCACAGGGGGCCGATACTCACCAGCACGTTGTGTAATATAATCAGCAATTTCGCGGAGGTAAGCCTGGTCTAGAACGTGCTTATCAATAAACTCTTGTGCCACCGTGAAAGGATTTTGGCCCTGATTGTATCCAATTTCAAGTTTTTTGAGGCCACTAGGCAGCTCGATCTCGACGGGAATCACCATGTCGTACGCCACACCGTCAACTACACCCCCCACCGCCAGTACCAGTCACCTCGCCAATCTGTAGAAACACATTATACCGGTAAGCAAGCACATGTAGTCACATCCATTCTATGAGAAAGAACCTACATCGATCCAAGTTCGGGACGGACCACTCCATTGGCAAGCCCACGCTTTTGTGCCGCGACGGAACATCTGAATTTGACCATCTGAGGTCCCATTGACACTCGCACGATGGTCGTAATTGGGGAGCGCCTCGATCTCTACACCACTCGGTCCACGAGTCTTTGCAATCCGAGCTTCTTCAACTGCTGCCTGTAACGACGCCGCCGCGTCCGGGTCTACCCGCCCTGGGTCGCTTGTGAATACCCGCACGATTTTGTCATCGCAGCCTGTGGCAAAGTCTCCGTTGGGCAATGCCGTAACGCACCATAGTCCTCCAGGGTGTTCTATAGTCTGCACAAGAGCACCATCTGCCGACCACACACGTGCCGTGCAGTCTTCACTCGCCGAAACCAACAGTCCGTTGCTCAATACGCAAACGCCTAGTACAAAGCCTGGTTTTCCTTCTGCATTCAATGGGTGCTCCATACTAGCGATAACACCTCCATCTAGCGTTCGTAGCTTTATAGACCCGTCATTAGAGCAGCTCACAAAGCCAATATCCGGCACCAAGACCAACTGTCGAATTGGACCTTGGTGGTCTATCTGTGTCTTTGTCAGCGTAAACGTGTCCTTGGCCCAGAACCGCAACTTAAAGTCCGTCACACTATTGCCCACTTGTTGACCTGTAGATCCCGTGACTATCGATCCATCTGGAAGTCCAAGTACGCAAACACCATTCTCGTGGCCTGGTAGCACGTGTAAACACTGCTGCGTCTCGAGGTTCCAGACTCGCGCTGTGCCATCCCAACTACCAGAGAGCAGTAGTTTTTTATCCATAGAGACTGCTAGAGAGATCACACCACCTTTATGTCCTTTTAGCAGCCCTACACGTTTTCCATGAACGTCAAAGACACGAATATTTTTATCCATGCTGCCTGTTACGTAGCCCCCATTTTCAAGGGCTATACTCGCTGTTATCCAATGTTCATGGTCATAAATAGTAGCACTTTCCATAGATATGTATCTACTTATAGTATAGTTGACATCACGTTGCCAAACGCGCACAATTGAGTCCATCGCACCCGTTAGTAGTAAATCATTCGAAAGAGATGAGATACAGCGAATCTACAAGTGATGGAGAGAGAGAAAGACAGTCAAAAAAGCACAAGAGTTACGATAAGAGTTACTATATAAGTTTATGTAAGTAGAAGACGAAATACGGACTGCGCCTTCATGTCCACGCAGCTCCGAGTTAACGTCATATGGGAGAGTCATTATGAGATGCTATTGATGAGAAAGAGAAGATTTGGTGGGTTTTAGCCTAAAAGCTACCTAAATACGACAAGAAACCTCATTTGGGCTCTAATTTTTGATCCTTATGACTTTTTTGTGTATGGATATAAGTACGTTTTTGTCGACAATATGGCTACAATTAGTGTATATGATATTATGATGAGACACGTCGGCTACCCATTTGAACTCAGTACATATTTTTTATGTGCATAAAAAAAGCAAGTAGAAAGCAAAATGATTCACACAGTACGCACGCACGTAGATAAGTACAGACGCAAATAATGAGCAAATGACCAAGTTTTTACAATAATAGGAAGACGCGTAAAATGTATATAGCCTGAATACCAAATCGGAGCGAATTTGTACAGACAAAAAGCTAGCAAGTCTAGATGTTAACAGGGTCAATAATACTCCACTGCTGGTTCAGATTGTTCGCTGAGCAGCCGTACAGCTGCACCTTATTGTTTTGAGCAGGGTCCTGGTCAAGGCAAAAGACCGGGTACTTTGCGTGCCTTAGCGTACCGGCCGAACTGTCATACGTCCATTTCTGGTTGAACTCGTGGTCCATGCAGCGGAACACGTGCACAATGCCACCATCCCAAGGTTGGTAAGCATCAAGGCAACGATCACTGCTCTTTGAGCGCACCTGCTGAGTGGCTGCATCAAAAAACCACACCTGCTGCTCCTGCACTAGGAAGTCGTTTGACTTGCTTGACATGAACAGACCACCTTCCTTCTCCGACAGCACCAAATTCGTGCCGACATTGCGAATAGCACGGGGGTCCCTCCAGCCAATCGTTAATTGCTGAAAGTTGCTCTTCATCGCACGATTCTCGTGAAACATACCGAAATGAGCCTCCACCTCTTTGTCGCCATTCACCACACGCCAATTCGAGTCAAACGCGGTATAATAGTAGAATTCAATATTGTATGAACGAGCCACTTGGAAGAAGTCGGCGAAAAACTTGGCTTGATTCTCAACAGAAGCGACGCTAGCACCACCATCCAAGCCACCCGAGCTCCAACCCGTCTCTGAGATAACAAACTTTTTACCCTTTTGTGTAGCAGCCACGCGTAGGCCCCTGAGACGGTCCAGAGTAACAGCTACAGCTTCGTTCACGTCCGCTTTTTCCCAGAATGAAAACTGGTTCACCGAAACGTAGTCCACGGCATCAATGAGCTGCGGGTTGGCGTTGTAGACGTCAATAACATCCGCAATCGTGACGGGCGTGTTCTTGCCACGGCTACGCAAATAGGCGCGGATTTCATTCATGTAGCTGATGGCCGTGACGGCATTGATGTCTTTACGGTAAATGGTCTCACTACCCACGTGTAGACCAATGACATTATCATCGTACAGACCAGAGTCAATAAGTTTAGCAAGCATGTGTTTCTCCTGGAGCAGGTAATCGTGGCTAGCCGTCGTCCAAATACCCAAGTGTACCTTCAGACCAACAATTTTGGCCGCTTGTAGTACCATTTCAGCCTGGTTGCAGTCCAACAGCGAGTAGATGCGGACCCTGTCTGTGACACTCTTCAAGACATACATGTCTTTCTGTACCTCGTCAGCGGTCTTGCATTTGGTGCTCACAGGTGCCCAATCTGGACCAATGCGCGAGGTGTAGTTGATACCGGAGATCTTGACATTGAGAGCGTTGGTACTGCCGTGAAGCAGAAACATCATCGAAGTGACAATAATCGGAACAAAGAGTTTCATGGTAAATGAAGTGATAGTTCTATCGCTCTCGATTTATTGATAGTAGACGAAGAAATACAAAGTAGTTGAAGGCAAAATTGATAGTGACGGTGTGAGATGAACTCGTGTATAGATGAAAATTCGTATCGTCTTTTGTTTACAGATACGACCTGTAACGGTAAAGCTGTCGTATAATTTTGATAGCCTTTCTTCCTTTCGACTGGTGCAATATGACAAAGTTAGTACAAATGCAATTGGACAATGACTGTTAAGGTGATAAATCTGCTTGAAACTCGACAGAAATGTGGGTGACGTGAGTACATCTTAACATATGAACACATCAGTTGTTTTTCATCAGTAGTCGCCATCGATTGATAATAAGAACAAATGCTGGTAAAGGCTGCAAGGATAGAGAGATAATATGGTAAGAACGAGTATCTTCAGTGTGTGACATTGCAAACATCTACAAAAAGGCTTGATAGACTACTTTTTGTCTGATAGAGGAGTCTAGTCACGGATATGTAGGAGTATATACGCGTAAGGTTACATCAGTATTATTGTAGGAAATTAGGAACGCAAGCTAAAATGACTAAAAAGTTACGATGATTTGATGACCGCTTCAAGCAAGTGGACAATATAAAAAACGGATGAAATAAACGGTATAGAATGCCGGAGGTAGAGCTTTCGTTTGAACAATCTGTACGATAACCAGAACCCAAGGGTCTGGGTTCTAATGTGCTGACAGTAGCATGAACATGAGGCGCACAGCTGTTGCTTCTTGGATTGGGTGGATAGCGTTGGAGTCTGCTCGATCTTAAAATCGCAACCAGAGTAAGGTCGTCAAGGACTAACCTCTAGACAACAGGACAATAAGGATACTTCACTTGCTCATCGCACCGACGATAGAAATGTGTCAAGCGTTGCTGTGTCCCACGAAAAACTCATCCTACCAGGAGACATCGGCAGCATGCAAAGCACTTTAATATATGAATTGGCTGACAGAAGAGTATGCAGCTTTGTAGAGGGATTGATATCGGTTGTTAGTAGGTCTGCAATAGGAATCTAGACAGGCTTCTTATCCAATAAACGCATTCAAAACCGTCTCATCAACAAGTTGGTCACACGGCGTCGTAGTCAATGACGCCGTATTCCGAAGTTCGTTTGATTCTACGGCGCCGTGTGACCATACCAGTGGACAACACAATGAGACAAAGTATTTGGAAAAGTTAGAAGAGAAGAAGCATCTTATTCGCTCAAGGCGACAATTGATGGCTAAGATTACCGCGCCCGAGTTTTCCTATGCGCTCAATCGGCACAGCAGTAAAGGACAAAACGACTCTAGCAATAGTTTCTTCGTGAATGCCTAATTTGTCTTGCAGCGGTCCTTCTGCCGATTATGCGATTTGCTCGAAGAAAAACACGCCACTAATATATCTAAAAAGATCACTCACTGGGTATCCTGTAAGGCTGGAAGAGCAAGTACCGGCGTTACTTGCTCTCATCCTTTGATGCGAATTGCTCACGACACATCATTTCATGCTAATTTCGTGGTCAGCGACATTTTTTTAAGTCCTAACGCGATGCTCCGATCGCGTCTATCGCTTCTAGTTGCACCCAAAGAGTCCACTTTACCTGTGCGTTCAACTGATGTAATCGAGCTCCTGTTATTGTTATGCCAGGCCATTACGCGTTTCGTGCGCGTGGTTTGCTTCAAAAAGCAGTTGACACACAGAAAAGGCAAATACAGATCGAAGAGATCGAAAGCACACGTTGTCTTTCGACAAGGTGACAAAGTTTTGTTATGGGCAAGTGGTCTGCCAAGTACAGCAGTAACGACGTTAGGCTCTGACAAATTAGTGCCACGTCTTATTATTCTTCCGTTTAAAGTGACGAAGGTTCATGGTGAGGCCTACACGCTAGACATACCTAAATTGATGTGATTGCACCCAAATTCTTATTGGAATTACTATTGTCATACCACTGCACCAAAAGGGCATTTTGGTGCATTGGTATGACCATAATTCTATGTCAGGCGCTTTACTGTCTACACTGAACAGCAGATTCGCCCCAAATGAGTTATCCAGCTTTAAGAGCGCAGCTGAACGACGCTGTGCCGACAACATATTCGTTCGCAAACACGGATGCTGCCGCAAGTAGAGACGATGCCTCCTTCCGATTTGCCTTCCGCTTCGTCTGCTTGGGCGACGTCGTGCCGTAAGCTGGGTCCACCGTGCTCGAATGTACAGAATGTGTCAAAACTTTTACTGGCAAAGGCTCACATCCATGAGCCTGATTTTCTTGGCGCGCCGGGGCCGTCGTTTGTCGGGTGACGGCGCTTGAAAAAGAAGGACGGCATCCTTACGTTGCGGCCGCACTTTCCTGTTGCCGGGATCAAACCACCCAGCATTTATAGCCCGGTACGCGAGCACCCCCTTCTGCGGCAGACTGCACCCCTGACGAGGCGTTGCGGTCGAATGTCCCGGTCGCGACGCTAGGAGGCGCCCGGGTACCGTTACCAACAACGGGGTTTGCTTGCATCCTCCTTTGACTTGGCCGTATCTGCCGTTAGGCCTTTCGCTAACCCACTGACATGCTCCAGCCGGCCTGTAACGTCAAGGTGATCAAATGCCAGCAAAGTCTCATGCTGGGCTGCGCGAAGCACCCCCTTGAACTCCCTGTGATGATCAAGCAATACGCTGCCGTAGCGTGCAGTGTATTTTGCGCTCGAAGGTTAAGGAGAGTAGCAGGTAAAGCATGGAACTCGTTAGAACTGCGATGATTATGAGAAAACAAGGAGACTCTCGCAGCCGAGACATGTGTCACCGACTTGAGATGGTCGGGACACGCAGCAGTGGAAAAGGCTGCCTCGAAATAGTTCGAGTCATAAGCCTCGGAAGTGCTAGGGCATCCACGGGTCACTGAGGTCACCGATCAAGACACGCTCAATGACAGTACGGCTTGCGCTGTACTGGCCGACACTCCGAGAACGCGCACTTGATATTGCAATAAATCGCGCCCGTCCGGCAAAGCAGTGGTGGAGTTAGCTGGGAGATCTTTGCGCTTCAAAGTCGCCGGACACAAGAGACTTAACGTTGCGCCACGATAAAAATTATTTGGGAGTGCCAACCCGCAGCCGTTGCTCGATCTGCAGCACAGAGGCCAGACGATGAGTTGCTGCGTCATAGCTCGTGTGCTTGGCACTCTTGACTAGACCCCGGGCGAGGGGGTCTGCCGTCGTCCCTCCCGCGTGGGCCTGGAGTAGCTGAAGGAGGAGCGTCTTCTCACCAATATGCTTGGGCATGCGCACGTAAGGCGGAATCACCGCGATAACCTTGCTCTCCAGGCACGTTTTGAGACAATCGGCCATCGCCACTCGCGCTTCTCCCGGACGCATACAAGCCAGAAGCCAGGAGGCGACGGCAGAACAATGCCACTAATTACCAATGCGCACTAGCTACATATAGAAGGCGAGTCGGAGCTGCAGATCCTCGTATGCAAGATGCAGCAGACGACGTAAACGCGTGCACTGGCGCCTGTATATCATGATGTCATCGAATATAGCCTAGGCGTAATGCAGTTGAGAGAGTATGTTTTCGAGGGTGTTGGTGCCGTCCATGTAATTGGCAGGGCACGGCACAGACGCGATCGCCCCAGCGCAGGCCAAGATATGACATAGCAAGGCATGTACAGGCCATGGGAGCGGTGCATTGTTGTATAGGCCACAGAGACTCTTATAGATTTCCGTGGCTTCGTGATGAATACGTAGGAGCCACCGATACGGATGGTACGCGGGGACCGAGTCGATTCGGTAGTAGTTATGACTGCACGCAAACGCATCAGTATCTGGCCATGGTTTGTCCGCGTCGACGAAGTCAGCAGACAGCAATTCTGAAGGTCTTTACGGTGTGCTGAAGGTAATTCCGTTGGAGCTCAAGAGCCATGCAGAGACAGCGCCGTCGTGACTAAAAACTCCACAATGGAGTTGTCTACCGGATCCTGACCGGATAGGATGCCCAGGAACTTGACCGTCTCCCGCGCTGAAGCACCGGACGCCAGCAAGACGAGAAGGAAGCACGTCGATTCAGGGGCATAAGCACGCAAGTGCAAGATTGATCTTGGCTCCACAGCCGTCGCAGTATAGCTGAAACAGTTCAATCTGTGCTAGATGCCAGATAGCAAGCTGGACGGAAACATTGAATCATCAGCAACGATAAATACTGGTGGCGGTGTGACGTCAGTGAGGCAGACGCCATACTCCTCATTCGGTCGAAGTAGGTTCTGTTAGCGTATTGCGTCGAACACAGCGTAATTGGGAAGAACGGGTGCGCGCTCGGGGTTTGCCGAAGCACATGCAGAAATGGGTTGGTCGCTATGAGAGGAGCCTTCCAAGGATTCGTGTATCCATAGCTTTGCAGGATGCGAAAGCGTCCTTACTTTCGCCGACGCCGACACCGTGGCCGTGACTGATATCCAAAGTGACCGATATTCTCGCAGACCTCATAATAAATCTCGAAGTCGTTCAGGTCGCCGTCGACACGACATTTTTGCTCGCGAGTATTATGACTCGAGAGATCGTCGGTGAGAGCGGCAGCGTTGCTTGTTGCGATCGCCAGGTCCTTCTTGGTTTCGTAGACCTAGACTACATCCGGTACATCTTCGTACAGCGTACTACTCTGCCCGCACGTATCCTCCGCCAGTGAATGTTCCAACAAACAAACTCGGTAATAGATTTTTCGTCGGCGCCAGGCACTACTCGGCGCATGAGGATGTCGATCTTCGTTATCACACTTAGATCAAAGAATTAACGCTGCGCACCGGATGTATTGACCAGAGGGGGAGGATCGTTGGGTGAAAAGACTATTCTGTCCGTGGAAGAGCAACAGAACCGGATGCCTTCTCTGTCAACCGACGAGATGTGCTTACTTCGTGCTGAGGCCGATGAAGCGCCAAATGGTCATCGTCATGCACATGAGATGGCGGAAAGCTTTCGCGCGAGCGCTGCGACGGAGGCTGATGAGCGGACTCCACGGGAGCAGCGGTGTCTTGTTGAGCGGCATTGGTGACTCAGGACTGCTGCATTTGGAGGCGCCCAACGGAACGAGTCTGCACACATTCAAGCGGGCTTAATCCCAGCTGTCGTCAACGTCATCGTTCTGGGAATTTGGATCGCGAACCGCCTCGGGTGAGTGGAGGAGGTTATTTGGGACGTCTGCCGGGAGGGCGGCGACCAAGCTGTCGCTAGAGGATTCGTCTCGGTCGGCGGCATCTCGCCGAGCTCACAGGCTCGGGATGCGGCTCAAACTGAGGTTGATCAGGCGCAAGTGAAGGTCGACTTGTTACGTGCAGCGGCGGTAAGGACCAGCGGGTGGCTGATACGAAAAAGGGTCGTTACCTCATGGTTCATACTCGTTCTTTGGAGCTGAAAATTGCCCAGGGCTTACACCATCCGGAGATTCCCTGCCTTTTGACGTCGGCGAGGCTACGCTTCCTACTCTGGAGTACGAATTGCGTGTGGTGAGCGTGGTGGCTACACGCACAGCGATGGGGGTGACCGCTGCAACTTCTGAATGGGCGACCGTGGTACAAAAATTAGCGCAGCTCAACCGAGAAGAGTCTTTCGCAAAGACCGCTGGTGTGCGGAGCCCCATGTCGCCGTCAGGCAAGATGCCCAAGGATACGGCGAACAGAATCAAGGAGCGTATCCGTGCGGTGATCCAACGTCTTTTGTCGTCTTATGTTCGTCACTTGATAACGCGTTGCGCAAAGACGTTGCGGCAGGTTTCGCCTTATCGGGACGCTTCGACACCGGTGGATCGTACAGGCACAGATGGATGATCTGTTGTGGCTCAGGGATCGCAGGGGTAGATCATACAGCCTAAACGGGGCCACTTTGCGAGGGCCAAAAGGTGACTCGGTGACGCGTTGTCTTGGCAACTGGATCAGCGCAAAGTCATCCGTTTTTTGTCTCCACGATTGACATGGCACATTAGTAATGAAGACGGCACTTTAGGTCATTATGCCTCGCCCTCATGTACAACTTTTCTTGTACATACGAGTGGCAGGTTGATTTGACGTACCTAAAGTACGAAGGGTCGCATCGTACGTGGTCACTATACTTGGTTAAGTATATTGACTATGCATGTTTGCATAATAATAAAAGGCTGAAGAGTCAGATAAATAGTGACTAGCACTAAGTATAGAGTAGGTGCTTCTATATTTGGTGCTAGAAGATAAACATAAATATAAATCAATTTCAAATCTGCTCTGTATAGCATACGTGCTAAAGCGTTCCATTCCTAATAGCTGCATAAGCAGCTTGGCTACAGTAGCTCAGCTACAGGTTACATTGTTCTATCGCAGATGCTTTTCGAAGGGACGTCAAAGAACATTGCGCGTCGCCAGACCGTTGCGATAACTTTACTGATTCTGACTAAAACCATAGATTAGTTCACTACAAAACAAGTCGATGGTAATATTTTGAAAGCACCTAACTTGACATGGAATTTGCGGTTTCGTGAAAAATTTTCGTCGACGAATTGTGCATTATTGGTTTGATTATGTAGACAAGCATACTTTCGCTTCATAATCGCCTACAGTGTCTATCTAGCATAGCATTGGCGCGTACAATCGCCATATCGGTCAGAACTAAGATGTCCGTAATCGCGGCTTGGCGTAACGCGTCTGAAAGCTTCTACAGTGAGCCAATTCAGATGGCAGTGAAAATGTTGCTAAAAACTGGTACAAAAACGTAACGACCAGAGACCACAAATGTAGAAGCAAAAGAGATAGTGTTACTAGTTTCAGTATCTCCTGGCTAGGTAGCCAATCCTTGAGGCACAATGGTTCGTTAAATCAAATCCCCACATCTTTGATACTAGTCTCTTGGAGACGCGGTTGCTTGCATCCACAGGCATAAGATTGTTAAGGTAGCCTTGGGAGGGACAAAAACCCAAAGACATATAAGCTTTTGGAGCTTGTCTTCCTCTCTGTACCCAAGGTACAGTCACACAACAAGGGTATGGCAGGTGCGTATGTACAATACACCCTTTGTGTAACCCCTTTACACCCTCCCCACCAATCCGTGGG